AAAGGGGACAAAACTATATAACGAATATATATAAAAAACCTTTAAACAGCTCCCAGCTACGTACCAAGTGTCTTAGCTCGGCCCGTCCCCTTCCGTTAGTCACGGCCTGGACAGTCCTCATGGCACGTATCTGTTTACGTATTGGATATTACGTCATCGACTCCTAGGATAGGTCTCCTGTAGTAGTCGCTTCAACTCCGCTGGTTGTAGCGGACTTAAGGATCCCACTTCCTGCGACTCGCCACGCCTTCTGGTGTAGACCTTGAAGATCGTGGTGAGGGCGTAGCACCCTTTTTCGTTTGCGAGGACATTTCTCTCTCAAATAATAACGACAGGGCTTGGGGTTCCTCTATCTTCTTCTGATAGATCTCTCTCCTCGCGGACCCATTGTCTGTGTTATTTGACTCTAATTGTTAAACCATTCCTCCTGAATTTCACAAACAGGGCGTGTGGCGCAGTTGGTAGCGCGTTCCCTTAGCATGGGAAAGGTCTCCGGTTCAAATCCGGACTCGTCCATTTTTTTCCCAGAGTCAGCAAAGCGGGCCTTTTTGGTGCTTCACTGCAAGTTGCCTACAGTGTACATGCCTATGCTGTCGTATTCATACTCTATATCCTTGGAATGGCCCCGCCGGGAGAGTCGTCGAGGCGGGCCGTCAAGACCTCGCAGCCATCTTCCGTCACAAGCATCATGTGCTCGAACTGAGCAGAAAACTTCCCGTCCTGCGTGGCCGAGGTCCAGTTGTCCGGCCACGTGACGTCCTTGTATGTGCCCAAGCAGATCATGGGCTCAATGGTGAACACCATTCCGGGCTTGGCGACTCCAATGGCCTTGTTCTTGGCGTAGTGCGGGATGTTGGGCTGGCAGTGGAACAACGAGTTGATGCCGTGGCCGCAGTACGAGCGCACCACCGAGCAGCCGTTTTTCAGCGCGTGCTCCTCGATGGCATTGCCCAAGTTGCGGAACACCAAGCCCGGCTTAACCATGGCAATGGCCAAGTCCAAGCACTCGCGCGTGGTCTCCACCAAGCGCACGATATCGGGGTCCGCCTTGGCCCTGTCACCCACGTAGTAGGTTTCGTTCAAGTCCGAGTGGAAGCCGTGCAAGTAGATGGTCACATCCAAGTTGAGGATATCGCCGTCCTGCAACACGGTCTTGTCCGGCACGCCGTGGCAAATGACCTCGTTGAGCGACGTGCACATGGACTTGGGGAAGTTGTAGTAGTTGAGGGGCGAGGGATATGCGTTGTGGTGCAAGCACTCCTTGTGCAAGATGGCATCGAGCTCGTCCGTGGTGATGCCGGGCGCAATGTGCGACGCCACCTTGTCCAAGATCTGGCGCGAAATAAGCCCGACCTTGCGCATCTTCTTGATCTCCGACTCCGTCAAGATGGTGATCTTGCCGAGACGGTCGTTTTTGATTTCACTCAAGGGCCTTCCGTCCTGTGCATAGTCCGGTTTCTTGATGTGCTGGGGCACGGCACGTCGAGAACTGAGCGGATATGACGCCCTCAAATCCCCTGTGTACTTGAAGTTGGGGAACGGGTCGAACTTCTTGTTGTCCTCTGCTGGGTGCACGGCCTTGTGCATGGCCCAGCCTCCTCTAAAACACGTCTGGTTGCAGAACACAGACGAAATGCCGTTTTTCAAGCACACGGGGCATTTCAACGCAGACTCGGAGTCCTTGCCGCATTGTGGCGACGAGCAGGTGGCCATCTTTGTGTTTCAGGGCTGGTGCTTGGATCCTTCTTTTTTCGGTAGCGTGAGGTCAGTATTTTCTGCTCTTTTTTCGCGGAGGTGCGGCTCGGCCCGCGGCTGGGCCGGCTGGTGGAACTGAGACTGAAGGGTTGGCAAGAGGAAAGGAAAATCCGAGGGCAAAAATCGTGGCAAAAGTGATGGAATGGGGGTGGAATAAGTGGGAATGACGGGATAACTGGGAGTGACGGGATAAGTGGGAGTGACGGGATAAGTGGGAGTGACGGGATAAGTGGGAGTGACGGAATAAGCGGGAGTGACCGAGGTAATTCCCGCGACAAGTGACGGAGGAAATTAATGAAAAGCGATGGAGAGGATCAATGAGAACAGCCTAAAGAAGAACCAGGAGGCCAGGAAAAGGAAAAAAAACGACTAGACAACAA